CGTAGGCGGGACCCTTGAAGGGGGGCCGGGAACGCGGGGGAAGATGGGCTCGCACTGCGGCCCCTCCAGTCCCGCTGGACCGCCGATCTCAACGCCCCAGGTCGTGACCCGCCTCATTCACCTGCTGAGCCAGAAGATTCTGGGGAATTTGCAGCAGCTGCAAGGACCTTTCCCAGGTGAGATCCGGCAGGTGCCCCAGATGCTGCGGGGATGGCGGTGACACCTGGGACTTGCTGGGAGAGCGCCCTGGCCCAGGGCATGCTGGGAAACCAAGGCCCCCTCTGGGGGTTTGCAGAAGCGGGGCTTGGAGCTCCGGCCCTGCCCGAGGGAGTTAGGAGTCCTGGGCCTGCCGGGCTGTTTGCTGTGGAATCTAAAATGTCACTTCTGTTGAGGGGGCAGAGTTTTAGGGGTGAGCTTCGCTCTAGGCGGCAGGACTTGGCTGAAGGATGGAGAAGAGGGTATGCTGGGAAATGGGTTCCTGGGGTGGTGTTTGGACCCCGGGGCATGTGGAGAAGGGGCCCCTGACGTTGCCAGCAGCTGGGAGGTGTGATTTCCATGAACCAGGGAGCCCTGGGAATTGGAGTTGGATTTGAGTTGTATGGAAGTATGGGACTGAGACTGGGCCTCCCTCTGACCCCAGGGGCTTCTGCCCCATCAGCTTTGACTCCTGCCCCCCGCCCCCCGGGGTGGTGGCAGTGGTGAGCAGTGGCCAAGAAGCGCCTCATGCCCATGGTCAGGTGCCCCCTCCGCCACAGGCTGGATTGTACTGTATACAAATGCTGGAGCCATCCTTGAGGTGATGCTTGGGCGGCCTTGGGGCTGGGCCCTTAAGATGTTGGGCTCCCAAGAGTCTCCCTGCTGATGCTCCAGAAAAGGCATTTGTGCTCTGGCCAGTTTGCTCAGTGGTGAGAGCATCGGTCCCCGACTTGCAGTTCAATCCCCGGCCCTCATCAGGACAAGAGCAGGAGGCAACCAATCAATCTCTCCCTCCCTCCCTCTCTCTCTTTCTCCCTCCCTCCCTCTCTCCTTCTCTCTCTCCCTCTCTCCCTCTCTACCTCTCCCCCTCCCTCTCTCCTTCTCTCTCCCTATCTCCCTCTCTCCCCCTATCTCCCTCTCTCCCTCTCCCCCTCTCCCTCCCTCTTCCACACCCTCTTTTCCACTCTCTCTAAAAATCAATGGAAAAAATATCTTCACTCCTCCGGTGAGGGAACAACAAAAAGAAAAGGCATATTCCAGTAGCACCTAGTGTGTGCTAGCACTGTGCCCAGCATGGGCGTGGGAGAGTGCACAGCAGGCCCTAGGGCGGTTCACAGCCACAGGCAAAACACCAGACAAGCACTGTGAGGACAACAAACAGGGTCTTGATTGAGGGTGACTAGCTTTTCAGAGGACAGAGAGCTGAGACTTGATAAATGACATGGGGCCGGACATTGAAGAGAACTTTGAAGGTTCTGCACACAGGGTTTGGTGGTTTTGAAATACTTGGAAGAGGACAGTGAGTGATGGGGAGAAACGGCCAGGGCAAGTCGCATAGGAGCGAGGGGCCCTGGAAAGGCATTTGAGCTGTTCAGAGGGCGTGGGAAGCGGCTGGAGCAGTGAGAGGCTCCGCACCCTGGCGGTTAGTGGGAGTGGGAGGTGTTGGTGGAGATGCTGGGAAGCAGTAGATGGGCCAAAGGTCTATTGGTTTCTGCTTAGTTTTGTGTTCCAGTCTCTTCAGTGGACAGAGGCACCCAGCCGGCACAGGGCGGGCACCATGGGTGCATGCGGGCCCTGTGGGAATCAGAGGCTGCGATGTGCTTAGTGAGGGCCACTGAGGACATTGGAGCCAAAAGGGAAGGTTGGGTGGCCAAGTGCTGTCACGTGTGGCCCAGGACCGTCACTGTGGTCTCACTGGCTCAGCTGCGGGACACGGGCAGGGTTTCTGAGGAGGAGGAGGAGGCCTCCCTCTCGGGACGCGGCTGCACAGCAGATTTCGTCCTTTGGGGTGTCAGCAGGCTCGGGACTGGGCGTGCCCCCCCACTCGGAGCTCACCAACCCAGCCAGCAACCTGGCCACGGTAGCCGTCCTGCCTGTGTGCGCGGAGGTGCCCATGGTGGCCTTCACACTGGAGCTGCAGCACGCTCTGCAAGCCATCGGTCAGTGGATCTGGGGGGCAGGCGCGTGTGGGCGGGGCACTGGCCAAGGAGTGGAGATGCCCCGTGGGTCCATGGGGGGTGGGGCAGAACAGGGCCAGGGGAGTGGGGTGGGGGGTGTTCTGTTCTGGGAGAGGCCCCAGCTCTGTTGACCTGGGCCCCGAACCTCCCTTCCTTACCCATCCTCAGGCCCCACACTCCTCCTCAACAGTGACATCATCCGGGCACGCCTGGGCGCCTCCGCACTGGACAGGTGTGTGTTGGGGGCAGGGGGTGGGTGTGAGGAATGAATGAGTCTAGGATTCTTTCAGCTGCAATTTCAGATCTAGGCTGTGGGCTGAGGAGCATGCCCCCCGCCCCCCAATCTAGTTAGTGGAATGAATCCGCCTGGAGGGCTGTGTGTGGGAGCCTAGGTGTGTAGCCCCTCTCCCCCAGCAGGGGCCTTGTCATGGTCTCTGACCAGCTCCAGATGACTCTCCCCCCCACCCCCACCCCAGCATCCAAGAGTTTCGGCTGTCGGGATGGCTGGCCCAGCAGGAGGACACCCACCGCATTGTGCTCTACCAGACAGACTCCTCCCTGACGCCCTGGACGGTGCGCTGCCTGCGCCAGGCCGACTGCATCCTCATCGTGGGCCTGGGCGACCAGGAGCCCACGCTGGGCCAGGTCTGGAAACCGTCCACAGGGACCCCACTCCCAGACCGCCCCCTCCCCTCCGGTGCTAGCACCAGTGCCACCTGCATCCTCACCGTGGGGTTAGGCTAAATCTTAGGGGCCCCAGGCGAGGAGGAAACGACTGGTGATTGGTGACACCCGCCCTCCGCTCTCGGGCAGCTGGAGCAGATGCTGGAGAACACGGCCGTGCGCGCCCTCAAGCAGCTGGTCCTGCTGCACCGGGAGGAGGGCCCGGGCCCCACGCGCACCGTGGAGTGGCTCAACATGCGCAGCTGGTGCTCCGGGCACCTGCACCTGCGCTGTCCCCGCCGCCTGTTCTCGCGTCGCAGTCCTGCCAAACTGGTGAGGGCGGGATCCAAGGAAAAGGTCCCTCCGCGGACTTGCTGGGGTGTGGCTACGGGGGGCGTGGCGTAGGGGCCTGCAGCCCCTGCGGCGTCCCGATGCTCCCTCTGCACCCCATTCTTACGCCCGCCTCTCTGATCTCATCCCAGCATGAGCTGTATGAGAAGGTGTTCTCCAGGCGCGCGGACCGGCACAGCGATTTCTCCCGCCTGGCGCGGGTGCTCACTGGCAACACCATCGCCCTGGTGCTGGGCGGGGGCGGAGCCAGGTGAGGGGGTGTGGCCGGCACCGGGCGTGAGGGGTGCCCGGGCGGTGGAGCTTACTGGGGTGAGATCCCATAGGGGTGGAGCTGGCACCTTGGTCCTGGCCAGGGCCTCTCCTGGGGCTGCAGCCAAAGGGATTCCCAGCGGGTCACCAGGGCGCCTCTTCCTTGCAGGGGCTGCTCACACATTGGGGTGCTGAAGGCATTAGAAGAGGCGGGGGTCCCTGTCGACCTAGTGGGCGGCACTTCTATCGGCTCCTTCATTGGGGCCCTATATGCCGAAGAGCGAAGCGCCAGTCGAACTAAGCAGCGGGCCCGAGAGTGGGCGAAGGTGTG